TATATTGCAATATATAGAAAAATATTAATATATTATACTATTCCCATATAAAAAGTATATGGGAATACAGTACTTAATGTATTTCATGCTATTTTCCAATATACTTCGTTATATTGTTGTATCATAGTGGTATTTTCATTTGCATCTTATAAAATAATAATTTATTGTGACTGGCATCGTCCAGCAGTTTAGCTCCACTGTCCCATTCAGCTCCACTGTCCCATTCACCATGTCTTGATACACAACATGACAGTTTGAGATTCTTCATCGGCAAAAATTAAATAAGTTCCTTCTCATTGTATTTTAAATATGTTTTATGAATAGAGTTTCCATACATCAGAAATCTGCTTATCCATCAATAAACTGGTTCAAATCAAACTGCTGCTTTGGTGAACTGACTGTAAACTCTTGTGAATGTGGCCCAGAAACCTGGGCCACATTCTGTGTCACACTTGTAGTCACACCAGTCATATTAGTGGTTGTGTTTCTCAAAATCAAGACCACATTGGCCATAAACCTCACTCCTTCCTGCCCCCGGCTCTCTTCCTTCGGCTTCAATCAAGATGATAAACGTTCTAAAAATGACTCTTCCTGCCTGTTTTCTCTCAGCACCTTAGGTTGTTTCTGCTCGTCTCGTTTTGTAGAAAGCCGGGTTATTTTCATCTGTAATCGGGAGATTGGTTTCCATCATATTGCACAAAGAAAGGCAGAAGTTTGCATCTGTGCATGAGGGCATCCTGACGTGAGCCCCGTGTGCATTAATGAGATTTATGACGCTCATAATGAAAACTTGTATCTGGGTGCAGGCAGACAGCCGGGCAATAAAACCACCAGGCATTCTGCACCATCAGATAATCATCTCCATCAGTGTTGTGTCCCGCACAAACTAACACAGAAACACGCAGAAATGCAAGAACACACGCTTGTGCTTCATTGCTCTGTGTACGGCTTAATGTGTACCATGGGAGTCTGTGAACTGGTCCAATTTTACTGCTGCTACTGCCGATCAAGTCTAGGAGAAACAAACAAAACAAAACATCTCTCTAGAGAGCAGCTAGCTATTTATGTAGCTAGACAGATAGATATTTTGTTAAATAGCTAGTTAGCTAAATAGCTAAACAGGAGAAGGCCTTGAACACCAGACAAAGTCAGACCTAAGTCTACCACACCTGGCAAGAACAGGAGCAGGATGTGCAAAGAGACCCTAGAAACATCCCAGCTTCTCACTTAGATACCCAAGTTATGGGCCAAAGCCAACGAAAATATTGGTATTCTGATCCCGATATGTCATGTATTTCATGTCATTACATATGCATGTATACTACAAATTCAAAGCCTGTGTCAAAATCAACAAAAAAAATCCAAATTCCAAGTTTTGGATTTATCAAATAAAAGAAATAAAATGGAATTTGATCAAAATATGCTCAAGAAAGTAAAGCTTAAAAATATTCATTCCAAAACATATTGATGGACCTCTTGGGTTTTTTTTTCTTCTAAAAGATGTTTGTAGTGGAATTGTACAGGAAGGTTTATCTTGTTTTTGTTCATGGCAAGGACTTGGTATTTAAATGTTTGGACTTCAGAGATGACAAAGACCGAAGAGGAAGAGGGTGGTGACATAAGCTCACAGATAGGATCAGGGAAAAAATGCAAGAAAACCTTCCAGTGAAATCATTAAAATATGTAAAATCTTCTTACTCCGTTCATTGTGGAGTTAAATAGCAGCAGAATGGAGAATTTCTTGCCGTTCCAGTTTTCATTCCATCGTTTCATTTTGCTCTCCCATCAGACAGAGAGATGAAATGTGGATGGTTCATCTGAGAGTGGCCTCCGCTTCACCCCCCAGTGGGGAATTCACAAACACTTGCACACCTCCTCCCACTGGATTTCACCAACGTGTTAAATCTCCCTCTAACCCACACACACCATCACAAACCCAAATGCAGCGCAAACCTCAGCTCCTGTCCTCCAGGCTGTCTTTGTTCGACTCGTCCGCCTGGGATCAACACAGAAGCTAAAAAACACCCATAAATCCCACGTGCTGTATTTTGTGACATATTTCGATTCCGCTAATTAAAAATACATCCGGGGGCTCTCTGTCCTCAGTTTCTCGTGGTTGTGTTTGTTTTTTCTTCTCCTTGTTCTCATCTTATTACTAACAATCCAACAAACACTTCTCTGGGAAAGTTTTCTGACCGTTTCCGTTCTCATGCAGCATGTCACACTGACCTAATTAATCTGACTGTGTAACAATCAGTACCTACAGTTAAGCCCCAAAGTCTATTAATTAATTAGTCTATTCAACTCAGTCCAAAATACCTAATGTTTTTGATTTAAAAATTAGTCACATTCTAGAACCAAAGTCTTTGGTCCAAGAGCAGAGAATAGGATCATCAGTACGCTTTGGGCTGGATGCAGACCTGTTGTAAGAAGAAGTGCGTTCATGCAGCACGAGGACAGAGCGTCTCTAGTGTCTTCTGCTTCCTTTCATTTAGCAGATCCATCAGAGAGTCTCGCACAGTGAAAAAGAGCATCGGGCAGATGTTAGCTCGTGGAATGACTCATCAGTACAGGAAGCACAGTGAGCCTCTGGTGAGCTGCGTGCATCAGTAGAACTGCATCATTTGCGTTATATTTTTGTACATTTGCAGCAATGGAAGCACATTTGGTATAAGCTGACAAAGCTTAGAGACTTCCTGTCTGGCCAGTAAAAGCAGCGTGAACCTCTTCCTGCATCCTCGGTTGGTGGAGCCCACCTGGTGTGATACACACACGTACACATGCCCACACGCACACCTTCATCCCACACACTGTATCACATCTGCACCTAATAAAAAACAACAGCAGCAGGATTTCCCTGTGTTGCATCCTGGTGAAATACTAAACATGTCAACATAAAAAAAATAAATAAATAAATAAAATAATACTTAAAACAGCTTAAAATGGCAAAGTGTAGAATCCTGTAAAGTTCAGCTTGGGTTAGGCTGAAGTTTGAACTTTAGGTTGATGTAACAGTACAAAAATGATTTTGGATGACTTCATGCTCCCAACATTGTGGGAACATGGCAACCTGATGTTCCATCATGACTATCCAGCAGTCCATAATAATGTCCATAAAGACAGAAATAAGCAAGTTTTCTTGGGAACTGCATTGAGTCCTGTCCTCAATCCAAGGATTTCTTTTGTCATCATCTTGAATGTGAACAACACAAAGAGATGTAGGGGAGAAAGGAAATTGCAGACACTATTTCCATCCCAGGAGAGGAGGCAGAAGTGACGGAGGAAGATGAAAACCTCTGTGTTCACTGTGGGGATGCAACATTGAAGAGGGGAAAGAGCAGAGTACTTTTTGAGGTCCCTTTGGGCCTTCAGTCTTTGCACCAACATACAGGTCTTCTGTAAATCTTCAGTAGAGAAGACTTACATAATGAAAACTTGTATCTGGGTGCAGGCAAACAGCCGGGCAATAAAACCACCAGGCATTCATCTCCATCAGTGCTGTGTCCCACACAAACTAACACTGAAACATGCAGAAATGCATGTTTCATTATTGCCAGATAATGGCTCAGCCCCTCAGCTGAGCTTTGGATCTGCCCCGGGGTGTCCTACCATCAGGGCATGAGCAGAAAAGCCAACTGGTCAGGTGCTCAAACTACATCTGATTCATCTCAACACCGGGGAGTAGAAGCTCTAGTCCTTAATCTATCTCTAAAGGCTCACTCATACTTCATCTGAAGTGTTGAAGTCAGTTCTCTTTGATGTAGATGTATCATTTTATTTACACAGAGGCAGCAGACTGCCAAACTCAGCACCCGCCTCAGATCAAACTATTTCCACAGAGCTCTGTGCAAAGTGTCGTCTGGTTGGTCAGGCATTTGTTAGTGTTTTGTGAAATGCGCTCGGAGAGCAATGTTGATATTTTGCTTTAGTTAGTCCAATATCAGGTCTATGTATCCACAAGAGACATGAATGATTTTCAATTAAATTCAGTACAAAAACATTTTATTTATCCCGAAGGGAAATTAAATGTTGTTGTGACTCATGTCAATTCCAGAAAGAATTATTGCCATCAGGCTGTTGGCAGGAAAGATCTCCTGTAGTGATCTGTATTACATTGAATATGAAGAAGTCTTTGACTGAAGACACTTTGTTTTCCAATGAAAGTCTCTCATCATCAGTTTGAGTAGTGTTTGCCATATACCGTGAGCAGTTATGTATGCTTGTAAGATTCTTCAGCCAATAACTACAAAGATTGTCAAATATTTAATAACTCCTGGGTGGAAAATGGAGCATCATGGTCCACAGAGGAGGCTGTCATGGTCCACAGAGGAGGCTGTCTGCAGAAAGGTCCAGCACTGTCTCTGTCACTGTTTCATAAAACAGAGGATCCAGGGAGGAAACTCCAGCTAGTGTGATGAATTGTGAATTGATAGGGGTTTCTCTAAGGTGATCTATGCCGTGACTTAAAAGTGTGTAAAAGTGTGCATATGAACAATCAGCAACAATATGTCAACTGTTTGGCTTCAGATGAAGTAGGGGAGAGCCTTAAGTCTTAGTCCAGCTAGCTTATGGAGAAACCTTCATTCAGCAATTTACTCTTAAGGCCATAATCTACATGTAGAAGGCAGATGAATGGGTACATCACTGTTTGGCTCTGCTCATTCTTTGCAACACCAGGCTAAAACAACACCATGACTTAGGAACAAGACATCAATACACCAAAACCATTTTAACTGACTCACATATTCTCAAATTTGAAGTGCTTTAGCTACAGATATGTGGAATCTCAGCCGATGAATGACCAGCTTTGTCATTTCTCAGTGTCTTTAACCAGCCCTGTAGTTTTCTTTCTAACTTTGTAAACTTGTGTTCCTCTAGGCTGCTGGAAACCCTGTCACCAGTTCACTGAGCTTCCTAGAGTGTGCTCAAAAGTGGAGGAAACAATGGACAGAAAACCAACTATTATAGATTTTTGCATTGTTCTCTATTCCCAGACCTACCTCTAGTGTTGGTAGCCATGTCTGCCACTTTCTGAAAGGCATCCAGGAAGGCCACAGCAGCCAGAACAGTGGTTCTATGCGGATTAAAAACACATTTTCATGAATTATATCAGATCAAAAATCAATACAGGAATTATCAGACTAATAGAGTGGTAATTTTTTTTTTTTTTTGTAACAAAGGCAGGATTTACGAGCACAACGAACTGTCCTACTGCTGACAGGCTCTTTCAACCAAGCCTGAAATTTCTGCAGCTTCTCCAAAGTTAGCATCATCTCTTAACTTTACAGTCATGTGCTACTTTGCAATCCTGTGTTCTGTAATTCAAACAGAACACATTGAAGTTTGTGGTTGTAATCTGACAAAGTGTGAAGAAGTTTAATGTGTGTGTAGGTGTGTGTGAGTATATATTATTTTATTGAGAGCAGGGGTGGGCAATCCTGATCCTCAAGGGTCAGTGTCCTGCAACTCCCTGGTCCAACACATTTGATTCCAACAGCTGAATCATCTCCTAAATGCAGTCAAGCTCTCCAGAGTCCTGCTAATGACCTCATTATTTGACACCTAAAAGTTGCAGGAGACTGGCCCACGTTCTCCTGCCCACCCCTGATTTAGAGAGTGGATCTCTTGGTTTCTGCAGAGCTTACCGGAGCTGGGAATGCAGCTTGGTGGCCTTGGCGCTGAAGTCCTCCCACACAGGATAGGAGCACTGGCAAAAGAAACACAGTCAGGTGAGTTATTACTGAGAAACATTTATTTAAAACGTTCCTGTACTTTTATTTTCTCTACAGTTATGATACAGAGGGAGCTAGAGCAATAAAGAAAACATGTTCAGTTATAGTGGATGGTTTTATTTTGGACTGTCTAAGCAAGTGTGTTACGTAAACGATTTCTAATTGACTGGATTCATCCACAAAGTACCACTATAGCGTTGAAATATATTTGAAACAAAACTTGACCACTGCAGTTTTCAGATAGGAATTATATTTTGTGCTATCCTTTGACCTAATCCAACAAAAGAATATTTCACAATCACCACTTTAAACATTGAACATACAAAAAAATAGTCAAGAATTACTGTTTATGCCGAGAATTGTAAAGGTGTTAGATTCATTCAATTATTTAAAATTTGCAGAAGAAAATAGCAAAAATTAGTTATTATCAGCAATAAGCTAACATCAATTTCTAAAAGAAACAGGAAATTCTTTTACTTTGTAAGACCACTGGTGTTATGTAGTTTGTATCAAAAATTATAAAACCATTAGAACATTCATCAAAAAATCAGGATATTGGACATGTAATTCCAAATTAATTCCTAAAATATGACCTTTTCCTTCCTAACAGATAATGCAAATATACATGTCTGTGTTTCTATTCAGTCAGAAATAGCTAACATATTTTTTAATCACTCTATTCTGTAGCATCTTGCTCTACTTATCTGCCTTTTTTTTCCCAACTTCATTTGCTCAATTCTGTTTTTAGATCCTCAAAAGCATTACCGCAGACTCACACAAAAACACACGCACCCACACACTGTACACTGTATCTAGCCCCAGCTTTCACCCTTCATTCACCTCTTCCTTTATCTCCCCCAACCCCTCCGCTCATTTCGGTGCAGCCATTTAATCCATCTACCACACAACACGCATCTCCACTCTCACATGCCCATGAACACATGCACACACGCACACACACACACACACGCACGCACGCACACACACACACACACACACACAGTGCTTGACGGCCACTGGCATCAAGCGGCATCAAAAGGCTCGACGAGAACATTCCCGGATCATTAACACAATCTGGAGCTGAAGGTGTGTCTCTAATGGATGCAACCCCTACTCTCCCAGTACTTCTTTAACCCACATCTCCTCCCCCTCTCTCCCTCGCAGCTCCTGAACATATTACATTATACTTGCCCTAGGTTAACCTGCAACCTTGTTAAGTGCTTGCAAATTGTGTGTGAGGGGAGAGGGGTTGGAAGAGAGGGGTGTCTATTTTCAGTGTGAGGTTAAAATGTCTGTAGGGGATGTAGAGGATCTGCAGACAGAAACAAGTCAAATACTGGAATGATTGGAAATGTGAAGGTTGAGTGGAGACAGTAGAAAGGAAAGGTGTATCTATGCATGTGTGCGTGTGTGTGTGTGTGCGTGCGCGTTCGTGCGTGAGCATGCATGTGTGAGTTGGGGGTGGGGTTTCCGGTCTGGATGTCAGACTCTTTGTACAGACAGTGACGGCTGCATACTCTTTGATCCGGTGTGTTTGATGTGGCTTAATTTGGTCTGAAATCACAGTCGTATGTCCCTGTGGTACTGTACTGGAAGGCAGCCCCCCTCTACCATCTCCACCACATACACACATGCACGCATGCAGATTCATCCACAACACTCCCTTTGCAGGGTGTTTAAAGCAGCCAGTGGGGCTTAAGCAGTGGGGATGGGAGATAACACAGAGTGAGTCTTTCCAGCTTTGCACCTCATTTGCATATTTCTAGCAGCTCCAGCCAACTACAGCGCATGGTGACCGAGTAACGTGTGAGAGTTCTGTGTGTATCTGTTCCCCCTTGGACTTAAATCTGCAAGCTCAGTTCATTCTGTTGTTATCTGGAGCCGGTAATGGGTTCTGAAAAATGTGGCAAACCATATAACAGAATGTGTCCCGATAGTTTTCCCAGTATCCCAAAAACAATAACTTGATTTATGCACTGTACGAGCTCTTTACATGTTCGGGGATAAGCGGCTTGGTCGCTTCCCGTCTATTGAAAATGGCATTTTGCACTAGGTGCTTGCAGGGCTTGACCAAGGGAATAATTAATGATGTACATCGACCCAAAGCCCCAACAAGTAAGCTGGAGAAAGATTTTAAGAAGTATGCCTTGTTTTACATTCACAGATACGAAGGTGAGTTTTACTTTCTTAAACTTTGTGGCTAACATTAACTTTAGTTCATGTTAGAAGGGCAATGAAGGGCACTTTTTCTCATAAAAGTGTGCTATTTAAGTATCTAAACAATTTAATTCATTCTAACAGACAATGTTTTTACCTTATTTTCAAGTATGTGTGTTTATTGTCACTCACAGTTCAGACATTTTGCTTCCAAACCACGAGGAAGCAAACAAACCCCATATCTTAAAAGTAGGGCAGCTCTGGTGTCAGAGATCTAGTGCAGCTGACTGTTGAAGTTCAAAGTTGCTGCTTTTAGAAGACGTTTTTTCGTAGAGAAGGGAGAAGAATAGCAGAGGAGAAAAGAAAGTGGCAAAAGAGAAAACAAGCAAAACTTGAAAGATATTATAACCTCCTTCATGCCGGGTTTCGGGTGAATGATGAAATAGTTAAACTTAAAAAAGAAATGATGGCTGTATTGAATGAAAAAAGCAAAGGAGTGTTGGAGAGTACAACACTTGGAAGAAAATGAAAAATGTACAAGGTACTTTTTTAGGAAACTATTTCAATCTAAACTACTGATAAATACTTTAGTTAAAGCTGAATTAAACGGTAACCAGCAGGTCATTTCTGAAATCCGTGGCTTTTATAAGAAACTATTTGGTAATCAGAAGATTCAAGAGGAAAAGATGTTTGATTATTTTCTTCTTTTTTTTTATCTAAAATGACTAATAAATTAACACAAACAGAGAGAAAGTTCAGATAAAGAAATGACAATTCATGAGATAACTAATGCTATGCTGAGTATGCAAAATAATAAGTCACCAGGCTTAGACGGCTTGCCAAAGGAATATTACTTTACCGTTTGGTACCATCAAAAAGTCCCCCTACTTCAGGTTTATAAGGAAGCCTTTAATGAAGGTGCACTGCCTGGTGCCATGAACCAAGATATGATCACCTTATTATATAAAAAAGGTCCTCAAACTGACTTGAAAAATTTTAGACCTCTAACCTCATGAGGAGTTGATATTAAAATACCATCAAAGGCTTTATTTTTCCGTTTCAGTCAGTTATTTTGAACTTTATAGACAAAGAACAAACCTGCAGGATCCCAGAATGATGGATAGTCTGGCTCTGATTAGAGATACTTACCTTTCCAGTCAGGTTAGAAAGCTTCCTCTGTCTACCTGGGGAATAGATTTAGGGAAAGCCTTTGATAGTGTTGATTATAGATTTCTAGAAGAAATATTACGCCAGCTCCATTTTGGAAACTCGTTTAAAAGCTGGATGTAGCTCTTATGTAATGAATGTTGTAGTGGTGGTGAATGGAATTTTAACTCCCCCCTTCACAATAAAAGTGGGAGTAAGACAGGGTTGCCCACTGTTCCCTTTATTGATTTTTATGGCCATGGAAACATTAGCATGTGCTATAAGGCAAAACAAAGCAATGAATGGCATAATTCCTCCTGGGAATTATAGTAAAGACATTAAACAAACCATGTATATGGATTATCTAACTCTTATTATCAGACAACACCTCCATACTGAAAAGTCTTCAGGGATGAGGATTAACAAACACAAAAAAGTGAAATATTTTATAGCAATTGGAAAGAAATAAGAGAAAACTGGGGTCTAATAGAAAAAAGGACACAATAAAAATCCTCGGAGTTCAAATAGGGAAAAATATGAAGATTGAGAATTGGAAAACTAAATTGCCCAAAATTCAAGGAAAACTGTTGCAATGGAAAAATAGAGAACTATCATTTAATGGCAAGGTGTTGGTGATAAAAACAGAAGTTATTTCATCTGTAGCCTTTTTAGCATCAACTTTCCCAAACGAGATAATGGCCACGATCCGGAAAACAATGTTTCGATTTGTATGGGGAAGCCAGCAAGAAAAATTAAAGAGAGCTATATGTATAGACCGCTAGACAAAGGAGGGAGAGATGTGCCGGATATAGGAGTTCAATTTAAAGCTATGTTCATCAAGCCAATTTTAAGAGCTTGCTTAAATCTGCCCCCACTTTATGTCAGGTTTTGGCTGGGAGGTCATGTGATGAGGGTCTGGGACAGGACGGTTACTTTACAAACACCTTTTTCAGATAGATATCCTTCAATTTCCAAATATTCAATGCCCCAGACCCAGATGTGGGGATGACGAGACAACTAGACATGCCCTTTCATATAAAATGTATGGTCCTTAATGTCACCTTAGTTGAACAACTTGTGTTAGGAGGATTTAACTTAGGGTCGCTTGAAAATCCCTGAAAACTTGAAAGCCCATTATATTTGGAAGACAACAATGTTCATGGTATTGCTTTATTTGCTTCTGAAATACGACTTTTCTAGCTGTCATGGTAACTCAAAGCGGAAGCAAGAAAGCCCCATTTTGCTCATGTGGATGTGACATCAGCGCCATACGTGCAAAGAGTCCATTGATTCCAAATATCAGAAAAAAAGTCAAAAATATTCTGAGGTATTGATATAAAAGTTGAATAAGTTCTCTTCAAATCACCAGGGTTACCAGATCACAGTTTCCAACCTAAACACAACCTGAATCCTGCCCAACTCCAAAAGAACAGGCCAAGTCCCAACCTGTAATGGGACTCATGTTAACAGACATGCAAAGTTCACACACATACACACATATGCATATATATATAAAATTCCCTTCTCACCCACCGCGGGTGGTTCTTATCCTCTGAGCTCGGGTCCTCTACCAGAGGCCTGGGAGCTTGAGGGTCCTGCAGTATCTTGGCTGTGCCAAGGACTGCACATTTCTGGACTGAGATGTCTGATGTTGTTCCTGGGATCTGTTGTA